TCACCTAATTGCACAAGCAAGTGGCTATCAGGACTCAGTAGTTGAGTGGATAACGCGATGGCGTTTGAAGTGAATGGTACTGGGTTCGAGTCCCCGAGTGAACATCAATTCTGAGATGCAGGTTCATCCAGCTAACGAGTGCTATATAGGACGAAACGTGCATCCTGGATTCCACTGCTAGCCACTATCCATCATTGCTTACAAGAAGCTTGTGAATTAAGGCAATATCGAGGCATATGCGCAGTATGCACATATGCCAATAACAGACTGATTAATTACAGTCCTAAAACCTCAATAGGAAGATACAAGCCAAACAATATCAAATGAATTTGGAATATTTATTCTTGATGCTATTCGATAAATGTCCAGTTTATAGTAGATTGTGAAATGACATAGTGTTTAGATTGATACATGCTTACTGTTAAGGAAAATCAAATCAGTCAAAAACGGCTACATCTCCGTCTCTGTCTAGAAGAGTTATGCTTTTATAAAAGTGAAGTCTGTAAAATATCAGGAATGGAAACTTTATTTAATTAGACGTGTTTGACGTTTTGTAAAATAATGAAGTGAGGTGAGAATGAGGCCTTCGGGTTGAAAATGTGTATCATCGCTTTGTTTTATCGTTCATAACTAGATTAAAGAAATTTAATCTTGAATTATTAGGAGCGGTCAAAGCAATAACTACAAATGTTATAAGACGATATTGGAGGATAAGAGATTGTTTAAAAAGCGTCCAGCAAACGTTTTTATTCAGCACCTAAGGTGATTAATAGATGAACAGTAATAGTCACTGACAGTGAGGTATTAACTGTTTTCAAACAAAAATATTTCGTTATTGTATTGTAATGATTTAAAACAGAATTACCGTAACATAAGAACCTATTGTTTATGCATAGGGCATGATATGATATACCTTGGAGCAACAACTTTTGTTACCATTTCGAAATCCCATATTTTACCGGCTTGATACAACTGCGCTGATGACGTTTTCAAGATCGACAGTGAAGATTTTTAAATTAAACTACACAGTCCATAGAATAAAAAATTACGTAGACTACAAACTTTCTTCATTATTTTATTTAGTAAACCATCTTTCACCAATATAGCTCTTCTTTTTGTCATGCATCTTCTCTCTAATTGATGGTTGAGAGGTATACATTTCTAACTTTGTATATAATGAAACTACCAGTCTTTTAAAACCTTATTAGAACATTTATTGTTGTGTTATACTAAGTAACGTGTATATCAGTGAGACGTCATAGGATTTACAACGCACAGAATTCGTAGTAGTCACTACTTATCTTTTCTAAAGGTATTGAATAATAGTTGGGTACCATCGAATAGTTGGAGTGAATTCAAAATATAAATTCATCAATTAAAACTTCTAATTCAGTTAATAAATCATTAGACTGCTACAAAATTTGACCTATGATTCAGTTTTTTCTTCAAAATTTTATTCTATAATAAAGTGTTTATCAAAAATTCCAGGCAAGATCTTTGTTGATCAATTCAAAGGCATAAATAAACATTTCCATATGGAATTTACTTTGTATATTTACTGAAATACTCAGTTTTAAAGTATTATAAAGTTGTGAAATTTCAAATCATGAGTCAATCGAAGCTAGACCACCATGGAAAACTTGGAACCACTGGATGGCCGTCTTGTCCTAGTATGGAACTCCTCAGCAGTGCGCATCCACGATCCCGCACCCCGCGAGATTCGGACCCAGAACCTATCAGTCTTGCGACAGGACCTTAACCAACTAGACCACTGAGCTAGTCGGCATCCAACGGTGTTATTGTCTAATTTCAACCAATCCACGAAGTTGCGCCACCGTACACCATTGTCTTCAGTGAGTTGATATCTCACAACAGACCTTGTTGAACTCCACTTGTCACGGCTTTTCACTAGAAATCCAGGAGTATCTCTTGAAGTCAGTCACTAGTGAGAAGATGATTATTATCAGAAGGGGTTTGTGGAGATTTTAGAGCAAACTATATTTTGCTTCAATAACATAGTATTAAACCTGTGTATTTACTGATTATAGATATTATACTGTATAATAATCTTTGTTTGAAAGGTCAATGTTGTTTGTAGAGTAAATAAATGAGAATCAATACAGATTTTATCATGAATTGACATCATTTATATAGATTCATTATTCAATTATATAACAATAAATAATCATTTTTCAAGAGTTTACTAAGAGCAATTATTTCTTAGAAACAAAATATAATGGATCTGTACATGCAATCAATTTAAAGCTAAATTGTCCAAGACTTGCTTTAAACTTGAATTATTTTTAGCTTGACTGATAACTTCAGGATTTATTGTTGTAGAACTTATAGACTTTCCAGGAGTTTTACGATTTGTGCAATAAAAATAAAATTGTATTCTATTCAAATCTTACTGCTCTACACATTTCATCTAAAAACTAACGTATATAAAACATAATCGTATTCATGCAACCCCGTTTTTGGCGGTATCACTCGTTTGTTGTTTTTAAACAAACTTTCTTTAGTAGCTGACTTGCTACATGTGACAAACCTACAACCAATTAATATCCAAGATTAATTGTACTACATTTTTGTATTAGACCAACTTTAATTTTTTATGTTTATTCTGAGGGGGTGTTGTGTCGGTTGCTAGATTTCATTGTTTACATTACAAACTCATCTTGGTTATACTCTTGAAAACCATAATGTACCAGACAGCTATCTCTTACTAACTTCTATAATTAGTTGTCAGAGTACTTGTGTGGATCTATGACCGATAGAGTTCAACCATATCGGGACTGAGATAAATATTACTAGTTGCAATGAATGATGGTCGACCAATATGGTGAATCAGTTAAAGTTAGAAATGTAAACCAATGTATGCCTGCTACATAGTATGAAGGTTAGGTGGCTGAAGCGAGGCCTGAGTGCTCTGTGTTCAATTATCAATCAGACCATGGATTCGCACTATCGAATACTACCATGATATAATAAAACAGCTGTCCAATCCTTCCTAGTTCTCGGGAGTTTTCAAATTAGATTAGTTCATAAAGTAAACGATGAAGGTTCATAACTCACTGATGGATTTCCACCATCATTTGAATGACATACTGAATAAATTCAGTCAGTGTTATAGATAGAAATCGTAAATTAAGAACTCAAAGCTCAAGCCTGTTGATATTTTCTCCATCAAAAGTATAAATTAGTAAACAATATATATGTTTTTGGGGTTTTTGTTTGACTAACATCAGAGCTTTTAAGTGATGATATATTTTATTAAGTGAAACTAGATATAATCGGTCAAACTTAACCAATGTTAAAACAATCTGATGTCATCGAAAGTTTGACTCAAAATAAGAAAAATTTTCGTTCAGCTATATTTGAGTTCTTTAGGCTTAAAACTCTCGCAAGATTCCAATAAATTCGAACTAATTTTTCGTTCGTGATTGATTGTATAACTTGTACTAAATGTTCGCATGTGAGGTGATGGTTGGAGGTAGTTGACAGGAAACCCTGGACCTAGGTTTTGTGTCATTTGGCACTCGTCAGTAAGGTGTACATGTAATCTTGAGGGAACTGATGTTACCTGGAGGATTCAATCCCGTGTCACCCAGCTTCTCAGTTAGAGACGTTACTACTGAACTATCCGACCTGCCACTAACATCCTATAGAACTGAAATGTATTTGAATTGTTTGATTACTGGTTAGTGATCAACGTCATGTGTGGTAAGTCTTTCTTAGTGCAGATCGACATTGCATGCACGTAAAGTGGTGTTCTGTATTTAATAAACTCATTTACCATTGTTACTCTAATAAGCAAATGGTTTATGGATATACATTAAAGTGATAGGTTTTTTTAAAATGCCAAACTCTTATAAGTTAAGCGGCGTTCCCATCAATCTGTCTCTTAATTCAAGCCATCTGTGTGATAGTCAACATGTAGGTACCCACAATTATTTGTTCTAAGAGTCAATACGGACAGCTAAACTGTATAGTGACTATTGATTTCACAATTAACTACTTCATATAACATAATATCAAATAACAAATTCTGGTTATAATATTTCTAGTTATTGTTTTAATAAATTACTCCCTATACCTCATTACTTTCCTAAAGTGATTGTACTTGGTTTACTTAAATATTCGTTTTTTTAGGCAAATTCTTTGTTTCATTCATCTACTGGAAACAACATACTGGGATATTATTATTTAATGTGAACAGAGGTGTATTTCCTTATACTAATTGATGAACGGTTTGTTATTACTATGTTATACAAGAATCATCTATTATGTTATTCTCGTTCAGTTCGATTATAATATAACCGTTTTTTTAATATTAACAAAAACACCACGTGATGGTATTACACTGAATTCATTTCAAACATTTCCTTAATCAAACAACAAGCACAGAGATAAGTTTATCTGCTATCGTTAAACTAATTGCCTCTTAAATAATAAGAATTGTATCAGGAATGCATTATATCTCGGCAAATCTAATTTACTTAGTATTGTTTACTTGAATCTTCCCATTGATGTTTAGGACTGCAATTAATCATTATCTTATTTGCGTATGTGCATACTGTGCGTATTCCCTAGATATTGCTTTAATCCACAGGCATTATAAGCAAAGATGATTAGTGGCTTATAAATTAGGGAAATATCTAGGCAATACTCACAGTATGCACATATGCAAATAAGATGCTGAGTAAATTTAAAACTTCACCCCATTGCACAAGCAAATGACTGACAGGACTCAGTAGCTGAGTGAATAACGCGATGGCGTTTGAAGCGAACGGTGATAAGTTTGAGTCTCAGAGTAAACATCCATTCTGAGATGCTGATACACCCGGCTGACGAGTGCTATATAGGACGAAACGCACGTTCTGGATTCCACTGCTAGCCATTATCCATGTTTGCTTAGACGAATCTAGTGTTTGAATATATTGTTGTCATATGTCAAGTTAAGCGCAAAATGTTGAACACTTTGATAAGAAAGAAAAATATTCGTTGTAGAATGATTCATTATTATGAAATAACTGCATTTTTATTCATAAAAATACATCACAGGGTAAACAAATTAAATAGTCTATTGTTTTTTTTAACATGATATAATTCAAGCAAGATAATCAGAATAAACTCTTTCTTCAAGACAGTTTGATAAAACATAAGATACATTGTCAATAATAATTGGTTGATTGCCAGGACTAACACAGGCTATCAAGCCTCCTGTCCTTTCCAAACTGAAACTGATCAACTACTTAATTTCTGAAATATAAATGAACGAAAGAAGAAAAAACAACGTAATTAAAACTACAAATCAAGTTCATTATTTGAAAAATAAATAAATAAAATTAGATCATAATTAGTAATAACGGACTAGTATAACAAATATCATTATCCTCTAGTTTTTATTATTAATCGAATTCTATTATTCATATTTTAATTTATCCACTAATATAAATGGGTTCATATTGAGGTGAATTGTAATTGATATTGGCTAATAATTTTCATGAAGTTTCAATGATAACTATCAATATTATGAGCTTTATGTCTAATCTATCATTATGTTTCATTATTTGGTTAATATTAATGAAATTCTAGCCACGGATGTTATGCTTTTAAAATTATCTAGTAATTAATTTCCCTTGATATTGTTTTGGCTTGTATCTTCCTATTGAGGTTTTAGGACTGCAATTAATCAGTCTGTTATTGGCATATGTGCATACTGCGCATATGCCTCGACATTGCCTTAATTCACAAGCTTCTTGTAAGCAATGATGGATAGTGGCTAGCAGTGGAATCCAGGATGCACGTTTCGTCCTATATAGCACTCGTTAGCTGGATGAACCTGCATCTCAGAATCGATGTTCACTCTGGGACTCGAACTCAGTACCATTCACTTCAAACGCCATCGCGTTATGCACTCAACTACTGAGTCTTGATAGCCACTTGCTTGTGCAATTAGGTGAATTTAAATTCACTTTGTATTGTTTTGACTTGTATCTTCCCATTGAGGTTTAAGACTTCAGTTGATCAGTCTGTTATTGGCATATGTGCACACTGTGCGTATGCCTCGATATTGCCTTAATCATATTATTTACTTTTAGTCACTTATTAATTCTATTCTATGATAATAATCTCATTTATTTATATCAATATCTAAGAAAGGATAATAAGAAGGTAATAAATTTCTTAATTCTGTTAAGTAAATAATGATGGATATTTCAAGTTGTGTTAACAGAAAAACTAAGTGTTTACTCTTTGGTTTTTTTCCTTCTTTTTATCATATAGCAACTCAATTATTTTTCTTTTCTTTCCTACGACTATGAAGTAAATTAATAATGTAATATATTGTTTCTGATTGAATGAAAGTGTTTTTGTGTCCTACTTAACCACAAGGTATACATTGTATTTAATTATTCATTGAATGAATCGTTTTCGTTTTATTTTTGTTTGGTAAATTCCACATAAATTACTTCTTAACTAGTAAAAATGAAAAATCCTAATTTGGAAAATACTCTATTTATGATAATAGATCATACATTTTGTCACTAAATCAATGAATTTACTAGACACTAATGGTTTTTATATTAGAAGGGGTGTATTTTTTTTTATAAAAAAAATAGTAAATTAAATGTAATCGATAAGAGAATATTACTGATAATTTCTTTCTATTTACTACCACCACCCCCTCCATCATTTCACCATTGTTTATCATTGTACACATTGAAAGATTTGTTGTAACCTTGTTGGTAATTATTTTGATAAGTAATTCATTAAGAGTATTTAAGACTTTAGTTTGATTTTAGATAGTTGCAAAACTTGATTATTAGTTTAATACTATTTACCAAACAGCTAGTGTTTTCATTCAAATATAAAATATGATGGTATGCAATCAACGGAAAACTTGTAATGTCAATTTTAAGCTAGTTTCTATTTATCAGAAAGATGTATTTGTAGTTTAGATAAAGTTGATACTTCGAGTGAGATAAAAAATAACGAATCATTCACTTTTCATATTCTGAGATATTACTACTAAATTATTTGGGGTTGCAACTTACATTCACAGGTTATCCCATTTGTGAGGTAGAAATATGAAAAAGTATTTTTTTTTAATATGATTTTTTTAGATTACTAGACTTTTATTCTTACATCTTAGAAAAACAAAGTAATTTCCAAAATACACTCATAACTTTTCTTAATATGCATACTCATATACAATTGGAGTAACTTGGGGTTTCTGATAGCCAGTAGACTTACAATCTAATTTGACAAATACTCAAGTGGTAACCAATGACTGATAAATAATTGAATTCACTGAAACATATTTGTTAACTATACAAAATCTATGAGTATCCATTCTATAGAAAACAACACTTAGTAATATTCCATGTAGTTATTTGTATTATTCCAGACATTTCACTTTAGGGATGTAAGGATCGTTCAATTTCTTTTAAGCATGTACTCGCTATTGACTAACTTTGACAGATAAGTCTCGGAGTTCTAGCGAGAAGCCGGGACCAATAAAGTTCAACCAAGTCGAGTGTGTAGCAGTTATTCACCGAAGACAATGGAAGATGATCGCGCAATATCATGGATTACGTTAACTAAGACATTAACACCTTTAGATGTTAACCCTGTGGTCTGGAGGTCAAGAGTTCGAGACCAAGGACTCTAGGTCAGAATCGTAGGTGCTCACTGCCGAACAGTTCGATACTAGTACAAAGTGTGTATCGAGTGCTTCCAGGCTTTCAATGACAGTCTTACATTGATCAGTTCATATTTCGAAATTACTGAGAACAAAACTAAACTATATTTTGTATAGATCTCTTTTTCCCATAAATCTCTGATCTAACTATAAATCCTATACAAATGTGGCTGATTTTAAAATGACAATTAATAAACTTACTATTATCAGAATGGGTTTTGTGGAGATTTTTAGAAATTTCACTGGTTGAAATCATGAGTCAATTGAAGCTAAACCACCACGGAAAACCTGGACGGCCGTTTTGTTCTAGTATTGGACTCCTGAAGTTCTAGTGAGAAGCCGTTACAAGTGGAGTTCAACCAGGTCTGTTGTGAGATATCAACTCACTGAAGACAATGGTGTACGGTGGCGCAACTTCGTGGATTGGTTGAAATTAGACAATTACACCGTTGGATGCCGACTAGCTCAGTGGTCTAGTTGGTTAAGCGCCTGGCGAGAGACTGAAAGGTCCTGTGTTCGAATCTCGCGGGGTGCGGGATCGTGGATGCACAATGCTAAGGGATCCCATACTAGGACGAAACGGCCATCCAGTGGTTCCAAGTTTTCCATGGTGGTCTAGCTTCAAGTGACTCATGATTTCAACCAGTGAAATTAATAAATTTATATTCTAACAGCCGAAAATCTGTTTGTATTGTAATCTTTTTTTCCTAGTAAAATGACGTTACTAGAGCAAATGAACGTACAAGTACTTATTCATAGATAATTGAAGTAACCGCAAGGCAGGGATTCATTTCTGTAGTCTACAAGTAGATCTAAGCCACTCACCAATTACTGGTTAAATGTTAACTTTTATTGTGAGATAAGAGCACTAAGAATATATATATATATATATTGACTTAAGAAAATTTAGTGCAAAGTAAAATGTTATGGTTACATTATTTATGATAATAACATTACTTTACTAACAAAATTTACAAGCTTAATCATCACGCTAAATAGAAAACCCCATTTGATAATATATGTACATCTGCTAAGAATATATGAATGTAATTAGAATTGATTAGATTAAGAATCGAAGTCAAACTTCATTTTGATGAATAATATATTTTCAATGCACGACAATGAACAATTCTTTTGGAATTTTTTTGACTGGATAACTTATTTTGTTTAGGCTCACAGAATGATGAGTTTATAATACAGTTTGTAAAATCACATTATGATGTGTGCTACTGATGCTAACAGATATAAGTAGTATGTATCAACAATCGAAAGTGGAATGCCTGGTAGCAGAAGGTTGAGAAAATCGAAGCGAATAGATGGAACAACTAAGTATGAGACAATTGATGGATATTTTACAAATCAAGTATTTACTGTAAGATTGACAGATTTTACCAAGTTATTCTGTATTATTATATTAAAATACATTTGGTTGTCCTCGCTTGTATTCTCGTTTACTACATGTTTAGTTTGAATTTTAATACATTTAGGTACAGGTTTTATCACTTCATTCCATTGCAATAGTTTATTTAACTTGCTTTCTATGTGTACATTTGTTGACAATTCAGTCAACGAAGTCTAATTCAATCAGCGATTATTTGAATTATTTATTTGATAAATCAATCAATTTGTCTGATTGTAGTAAATTAAATTGTCAGAAATATTTAACTCACTTGTCGTATCACATCAACAACCTCTTGTACCATTTTATCAGCATTATCGTTGACAATAACGGCATCAAATTTCCCTTCGGATATTCCTATAGTAAATTCAAACAAACATTGTAATCAACTGTTTTTAAATGATATCCATAACAAATCAAATACTCGAATATCAAAATATAGATTAATGCATTACTATAAGAATTTCAATAGTTGGGATCATGATTCAATTGAAGCTAGACCACCATGGAAAGCCTGGAAGCACTAAACGGCCGTTTCGTCCTGGTGTGGGACTCCTCAGCAGTGCGCGTCCACGATCCCGCCTCGTGAGATTCGAACCAATGAACCAACGCTTAACTTTGCGCAATTTCTTGGATTGGTTGAGGTTGAGGCTAATTCAGTTGTCTGGAGATTGAGCATTCGCGTGCGAGGCCGATAGGGCTTGGGTCCGAATCTCGCAAGCGAGATCGTGGACGCGCAATGCTAAGGGGTCCCACAATAGGACGAAATGGCCGTCCAGTTCTTTAAGGTCTTCAAAAGTGGTCTAATATCGATCGGTTCATGATCTCAATAAAAAACATGGTAATCTTCACAAACTCATACTGATAATATAAAGGTGTTGTGAAATTGTTGAATTTGCAATCAAAATTTTGGAATAGAAGTATTTGTTTCGTGTGTTACTTCAAAATATGCATCTAATATTACTATTAAACCAGTAGCCAGGAAGTTGGAAATATAAAATCCTTCAAATTTGTACATTGTCTTGAAGTTTGAAATCGAGCGTGAAACAATATTGTCATTATAAAATTTCGTTAAATTTCAATAAATTGACATATTATGTGGCATTTTCTGAATATGGATATTTTAGAAGTGGAAATTTTGCATAATTATTTCAAATACTTGAAAATGTTTTTACTGATAACTTACCGTACTGCATTTCCTGATGTGCAACTGCAAGACGTTGAAGAATTCTATCTTCACTTTCTGTAGAACGAGATCTTAATCGTTTCTCCTAAAAAATGAAAATATATAACAAATAAGGAGGTTAGTTTCTACTGACAAGTACTCCCAAAATATAGTAATAATCAATGTCAATTATGATTAACGTTATGTCAAAAATATGTGTACCTCTATATTTCATGCGTCAATTAGAATTCATCTATGGGATTCGTGTTATTTGAACTGTCAGTCTGTTTTTTTCAAAATCACTTCTTCATTAAAGTTTATATCACGAATTGACTTTAACTAAATCACAATTGGAAACATTTGAAGTGCGCGTGCACGGCTCTGCATGCAATAACTGGACCTAAGATATTCAGTTTCTCTCACCAACGCTTAACATCTGGAACACTGAGTCGGTATTTAATGTTACTATTTTTTCACATTAAATCAATTTGCAATGATCATCAAACTTCATCCATTGCTCTCGGTAGATAACTATCTTACCCACACACACACAACTATAGTCCGGATAGTCTATCAGTAAGATTCCCATCTGTGACACTGCATGAAGTAAATTTTATTCTCATTAAAATCATCTGCTCTTTCATTACTGCCGCTAAGCCTCGATAACAAATGTGAACTAGAGTCAACCCTTCTTCCCATGGCTTCCTATTGAATCCGTTCTACTGAATGACTGGAATACAAATCTTTAAATCATTAAATCCTTGCAAATATATATATAGGTTAATTAGTCAATAACTAATCAAATTTATGACAAAGTATTTGTCGGTGAATGAGCTATCATGGGAAGCTACGGAACACTGAACATCTGTTTCGTTCTAGTCTAGTATCCATTATTAATATCTATTTATGATACTATGAAGAACTAAATCTAGAACCTTCATATCTCATGAGAGAATTCAACCTTCAAAGCATTAGATTCGTATCCAATGATGCTCAATGATCTTACAATTCGATTGATGATTTCTGTGATAGTCTTCACCGATTTAAAAATAAAAAAGATATGACCTTTTTTCAAATACTAAAGGTTGATACTATTAGTTCTTATGAAAACATCTGAAGCTGTGATAAGAATATTAGTGATTTAAAAAAATTAGTTGACGTTTTAAATAAGTAATATATTAGAAACTTAACATTGTTGAAAAGTATAAAATGTCATCAACAGACTGTCCCTTAATACATTTAGTATATTTAGATTTTATTCAGCTTATAATTTAGCAGAATATAGTAACTGTCATTTTGATATTACCATTCAACTTACAAGTATAGCAAAACTTCTAGGACGTATAAAAATACAAACTGGATTAATATTTGTTTTTTGTAACTTTTCAACACCTTGTATATCGACATCCATTAAACAGACACGTTTCTCCAATTCAGCTTTTTTCAATTCAGCTTTACTGATTTTAAGAATATTTAATACAAACAAATAAATGATTTGCATACAAAATAGTCTCCAATATAAACATATAAACATACAAATAACAATGACAATGATGAAACTTTACTATTTGGTTTACTTAGTTCAATCATTTAGTCTTAGTTCTCAATCAACTCTACCTGAATCATCTCTAGAGTTATTGCAGATCTAAAACTTAGATAAAGTAGAAGAACTGAACTTAGGTTTAACAATCCAAACTTAATGAAAAGAACAAAGCTAAAAAGAACATTAACCGAAGAATATCAATTGTTTTTCATTGATCACTCCATTTTTGTATAACTAACAGACAAAATATACCGGTCCTTTTAGCAAAGATAATAATAATATAAACCAGAAACTTTAACATAATACAAATAGTACAGACGTATTTTTTCCCAAATAAATTCTTAAAATATTTCATTACTAAGTTGCATATAAGAAATCTAGCTTACTGAAGGAACTTTCCTGACTTTCTGAATACTTGTCGAAACATAAATTTTAGGTTAAAAAATTAATATTTCCTGATCCCATTAGCGTAACAGGTAAAAATTGCTTTCTGACTTAACTTAATTTTTTTCCCAGTGGAAGGATCTATGCTGTGAATAAGTTGACGTCAAGAAAATAAATGCGATACCAATCAATTTTAAACTGTATATTGTGTACATATCATATCCAACATATGAAACCTAAGCAGAGAGCATTTTTCGTTTCAAGACTTTTGTTATATCATCCATAGTGTTGTTAGTTAAAATGTAACTAAATATTTTACTGTGAATAACTGAAATCCCATAAGTCACACAAAAACTACTTTCTAATGGAAAAGTTGATAATGTATATAGTAAACACTTTATTCCTCTTCATAAGGAAAGATAATTTACTTGTCATACTAAGCTACAAATCACACTATCTCATTGATTGATTTCATCACATTGAAAATTTGTTATGATCTAATTGATAAATTGTAAATGTAAAGAGGACTTTCAGTAACAATGATCTTAAGGTTTGGAAGGTTTGAGAAATCATTAAATACAGAGGATTACTGAAAATGACGAAATGGTACAACTGGTTTCAAGAAATAATATCTAGATATCTAAAGCACAAGATATGACTAGGTTTGGCGATAAAACATATTAAAATTGTTTCGAGACTTTTATGTTCCTCCATGATTGTTAAACTAAAGGGCGAGTTTGCCTTCTTATAATCCATAAACACCTCTAATTGATACTCAGTCTTTTTATGAAGAATGAATTCATCAATGGTACATCAATGACCAGACTGAACGTTTTGAAAGAAGTTGGTTGTTCATCCAGTAAATTAAGTTGCTTGCAGTGTCAAATCATCAGACAAGGCCGCTTTCTCCCCCCCTTTCTCTTTCTTCTGGTGGTTGACTGGATTATAAAGACCTCCGTATCTGACGGGAAACGCGGAAGACAATGGACAGCTCGGAATCAACTAGACAATCTGGACTTCACAGATGACTTAGCTCTTCTATCCCATACACATCAACAAATGCAGGACAAGACAACTAGTATAGCAGCAGTCTCTACATCAGTAGACCTCAACACGTATCTGTAATATTTACAGTAAGCTTTAATAAAATGCTAGTTGGAAGGGTTTGTTTTTTCCAATTATTAATGTTAATGACTGAAACTGTTCAGTGTCTGTTGACATACGTATATTATAAAAGGATTCACTAGAGGTACATATAATTATCCCATCACATTAAACTTTGTTATCCACACAAACTTTTCAGATTAGTTATCAGCTACTAGCTAATGATATAACATTTTGATTTGGAATATTCAAATTACCCTTAAACATAAATTCAATTACTGTTACTAAGTTTATTAAGAAAGGCAGTATTCGTACGTTGTTGTCACCATTTTTAAAAATAATCTGGAGCATCCATTTATATGTGGGATGAATAAATACATAATCAACAAGTTTTTAATGATCTGCATGACTATGTTTTGTAAGTTCTTACCTTGTTCCATAATAATGTCCAGAAAACATTACGTATTCAATAAATTCATCTTTGCTTATTGCTTCGTCAAATTCTTCTTTTGACACAAAGTTATAATCTGCAAGAAAAATTTAATATACTACTTTATTTTATATATTTTCACTCAAAACGCTTGTCACTGGACGTCGACGTTTGAACAATATTTTCGCTACTTATTATAAAGTAGTACACTATTTTCACAGCTCAAATCATGAAATGACCTTAGCTCAACTACCATTAAAAACGTCGAATCATTGGACCACCATTTCGCCTTAATATGAGACTCCTTCCCAATGCTCATCCATGATCCCGTACCTGAGAATCGAACTCAAGATCATGGGTCATACACCTAAACGCTTAGTCTCTGAACCATTAAGCCACACAATGCTTCTACATTTTTAGTGGGGGTCTAGTTAAAATCAGTTGACGATTAAAACTGTTAAAATTCTACAATCTCCAAAAATCCCCTGTACTAAGATTTCATTGTGAAACCATGGTTTTCTAATCATGTTAAACTAACTTGTTAAACTTCGTTATCGTATTATGTCAAAGTCGCTAAATCAATTCAGTGTAATACAATTACTTCATTTTGTGAGTTTTAGTATAGCGAGCATAAGGACTAAAGCAAAGTAAGATTAAATAACTGTATCTTATTATACCTTAGAGTAGCTTAAAACACTAACATGAACTTCTATAGAGGTGATTCCTGATCGCTTCACTAAAGAGTTCAAAATATTGATAAATTTGAAGCTTTGAAATGAATTATGTTTGATCAAAATAATGTCTTTCTAATAAATCAATAGTAAGAGATTAGTTAGACATTTATAACCCTACTAAAAAATAATTCCAATAACAATCTTCTTCATACTTACCACCTCTCTTCAAAGATCATCCAAAGATGAAAAGTGTATACTTTTAATCGAACAATAATTTATGTTGTTTGTTTCTTCGATTCTTATTCTCTCTCATTTATTAAAAATCAATAATTGTTAACCGAAAATTCATATTCATAAAAATACTCAAATTGATTTTTTGTTTGAAATAGGTTTTTTAAACAAAACAAAAAAATACATCAAACAAACTACCTATTATTTAGTATACTTAATAAGTTAGAATAAAATTTTTAAAAAAACTGGGGGTGGTGGGGGGTCGTATTTTCGCATGCCTATCTTCTTTTTTTATAAAATTTTGTTTTACAACCCCACCATTTGTCATTTTGTTGTTAACTAAAACCTTTTCCCTTGACAATAAAATGACTAGACTTTAAATGATGAATTTTGACAGTGTTTCATTTTGAATAAAGTTAAATGTTTTTTAAAGTTAGTTCAGTCATATTTGCTCTGATTTTTTGTATGTAGTAAAATCATGCATTTTCCAATATGATATGTCAAATTGTACATTAGACAACTTATTTTCTCTTGTCATAAAAACCCTTGAATAGTATAGTAGTAACTAACAGTTTACGAAGACTTATTTTCTAAAATCTATTCAAATATCAGTCTGTAAACGTTGAATCTAAATAGTTTGATAATATAATTATCACGCTTTTGTTTATATAAGAAATATTTCCATCATTGGTAACCTTGGTTTCTAAATTCTCTTCCTATTTACATGAATTGTTGTCTGTTATTGTCAGCATATTTCATGCAACATTTAAAATCAATTACGAAAGATCACTTTAGGTAGAATAATATGCATATTAAAATAAAGAATCTCGATAGACACTATTCAACCTAATCATGAGATTGTGACTAAGCTGGAAGATAGTATCTTTCTAAAAGATTGATAAATAGTCGTATTGCATAAAAATGGATGATAAAAGGATTTCAACTTAACAGAAAAGCATGAAATTATAAAATAATGAATCTATTGAGTTAGATTTGTTAACCTCCACAAGTATGGTCCATACAAATGAATTAGTTAAATTTGTGATTGAGTTCTTATTCTTTATAAAAACGACTTTGTCTGCAACTAAGTTTTGACAGTGAAAATTCTGTTTTATATATAATAGTGGTTTTGCGTATTTTACTAACCTAACTATAGTAAATAGTCGAATACAAACATTTTTGACCGAGGTTAACTGAAAAAACAAGTAAGAAATATAAAAATCAAAAGCTACTGCTTCAGAAACGATGGATGCACACTGTTGAGAAATCCTATACTAAGGAGAAATATAAATTCAGTGCTTTCAGGTTTTCAATGGTGATGTTATATGAAATATATTGGACGTTGTATCGCGTTGTAATATCTTTCTAGATAATTTTTAGTTAATTATGAATTATAACTTCACTAGATAGATGTAGAAATCAATACAGCAAATTCTTCGCTCTTACTTTTACAGCTTTACTTACCATTCTTAAGAAGAGAATGGTAAGGTATTATGTACAGGAGTTCATGTAGATGGTTATTTTATGATTTACATGACGTACTGACTTTAGTTATACAACTATTGAAATTCAAGCAAATTGTTACTCAGTAATACGAAATAATTGACTTTAGATATACAAATCAATAAATGCCGCCTCAGTAGTCTAAATACGAGACTCTCGCAGTCCGAACTCCAGTGGGTTCATAGATTCACATAGTTAGAGAGTCCAACAATAGAACCTGATTTTTAGTAGATGTTCAACTAAAGCCGAACCGTAATGTGAACTATAAAGTTATCAAGCATTTGACCGGAAGTTTATATGATACGGCTTCTACATCCCATATATTTCGCTAAATTAAAATAAAGGTATTATTCAACTACAATGTCGAATTTATACTACAAAAGTTATAATACTAAGAGTAAAGGAATATTTCGATATTTTTAAAACTCGGTGTTTTCTTGTTACGCTACTTAAAAGGTTCTTAAAAAAATTCGACTTTACACATGCACTATCTACATATTTAGATCACAGACTTTAAATATATCGATCTACATTCATAATTAGGAAAACAGGAAACAAACGAATTAGAAATCTATTAAACTTTCTCTATGACTGAACACATCAGTTCTGGAATGATTAACTTTCAGGTCAGAGAATACAAACTTGATACAAACAAAAAATAATATCTATTTAAGTGGTTATTAGGCATTTTTTTTATTCAAAAGAAATATCCCATCTATTATCTTCCATGCACACTGATTTACAAAATAGTAATAGGTGAATGATTACAAACCTTCCTTTTATAATGAATTTTCGGTTGATGTCAGGTCTTGGTGAAATGTTTCTTTAAACTAGAAAAATTTTCCCAAACTACTTACTAAAATACACTAAGCTTTAGAAATACAAGTATTTAGTAATTTTGAAAAAGACTAGCAGTTTCAGTTTAGTATTTCTGAAGTTACATAGCATAAACACTAATTCAAAAAATTGAATTCCCCGTTTAAACTGATAAGCGATCATAATTTATAGGAAATAGGTCATGAATAATATAATAACTATACTGAAAATAAAATGTTCTCGATTTATTTTACATCTTTCTTGTTATAAAGAACTGTTTTGTTTAGCTGTATTGATTGCTGTTTACGAACATTTAAGACGATTCTATCACTAACTGGATGAGTTTCGAACTCCAAAAGGAGAAAATTGATACACACAACTCCTCAGTAATAATTCCTCACGATAGAGCCCCGAAACACATATCGCAATGCAGAAGAAAACGTGATACCTTACAAAGGCAAATTCATATGAAACAACTCTCCATATAAATTAACCAACCGTGACCCTTGACCACAAAGCAATTGATGCACTGAAAGTAGTAACAATATGAGGAAAAACTTCAAAAGTCATGCGAAAATGTAAATTAAAGGAGCTGTTATTGTGGTTATAAGTAAAGATGGATAATGGCTAACAGTGGAATCCAGGACTCGTCAGCTGGATGTACGTGCATCCCAGACTTGATGTTCACTCCAGAACTTATAATTATCATTACAAGAAAGAACTAACACTTTTTACAGAAAGTAAATAACTTGAGATTACCTTAGCGTCTAGTATAAAATGTTGACATTCTCTTGTTTGCCATTAAATCTGTTACCTAGTTTTGAGAAGTTAGGACTGTTATTAATGAATACTTATTATTCTACCATACAACCAGTCAATATCCATGAAAATAAAACAACATCCCTTAAATGTGATTTTTGTTACACCTGTATAATTCACTGATAACTAAACAACAATAAAAGAATGTCATTAGTTTGTCACGAACATTAAATTGCTAACATAAACAGTAACATGTAACTATCTGTTTGTTTATTTCATATGTACTGAATTTAATTGGTAAAATATTTTTATGTCATAAAATTTATTCAAAAAGACCAACAAGTTCAATTCAATTCAAAGCATCATATGACTATTATTTTAATTAAAATAGATTCACCTCTTGTATGAATTTCATCTGGACGTCTTGGCCGAGTGGTATCTAAAATAAAATTTTTAGAAAAATCAATAAATAATCACTAGCTGACTCGAAAGTAATCAAATCTTTTGATAATAAAGAAGAATGAAATTTCAAGTTCATTGGTATAATATGTCATTCAATGTTGAATAATCAGATGTTTCAATGCTTAGAATTTTTTTCTAAACAAATCCATAATGACTCACGATACAGCTTATGGACTTGTTTATCAGACATAAACTAGATATGAAGTTTACTATGAAATCATCACATTATATGACTTCAGAAAAATCAGGATCTATGAGTTGTAAAATGAAGAAAGTATGCTGAACGAATTTATTACCATATTCAAATGAATACTTTGAGGTACTGACACAAATCAATTTACAAAGTTCTTTAGGTTTTTATATTGATGTAATAACAAATTTCAACTATTCATTATACGTTGCTAATGGTGACAGTAAACTATGCATCTAAAACTGCAAATGAATAAAATCACTTCTATACTTCAGTACTTATAAGTTAACTAATGTCAAATGTTCACTAAACACATTATGTAAACAACTAAACTAAATCATAATCGAAATCCTCCATTTCACTGAAATTCGTCATACATTTACTGATGGTTTCAAGGATCTATGTATAATCACTTAACACCAATTTTGGTGATTTTATCACTGCTGGCCTTATACCTTTATCTAAGATCCTACTTTATAAATTATAATGTGTGCAGTCTCTTCAGGTAAGTTTAGCCACAACAAAACATCTAGTAGAAAGGTGGATTGAAAACTTTACTGTTTACATACTAATTAACCTGTGACTTTACAACGAAATCTATGTAAACGTTTGATAATATATATATATATATCTGAGTATTTAGAAATGTCATTTGACATGGCCCTTTATGTTTAAGCATTGAGAATTTCATTAAGTGTAGACATTGACATAAGAAGTTTCACCATAATAATTTATTATCTTTAACTGTTTGGATGGTTAATCACATTCAATCTAAAAACTATGTTAAATAAGATTCCTCTTTTTCTCATACTAATTAGATTCCAATTTTAAACTATCTTCTGATATTCAGCACTTGGTTTCTTGAATATCTATATTTATTTTTGTTCTCAAAGTTAGTCTTTTAATATATTTTGATACTTCTTATTGAAATTCTTATTCTCTCATTTAATAAGTCTGACTCTGTTTCCATCAACAACAAATAACTTACAATGTATAAGCAAGAACGAACTGATCAAACAAATGATTACCCAATCTAATTTCATATTTAACCGTATGTGTTTTTTCCTAGTATTTAATAAGCATACTACTTTATTAATCATGCGCAGTAAAAATTCATTTGTATGCCAATTAAAATAGATTAATTTAGATGATCAACAACCGGATTAGTTGAAATATCATAAAACAATCAAGATGTGTGTTTTTACCGAATGACAGAAGAGCATAAAGAAAACTTTCTACTTCAGTGAAACAGTTCTTTTTTTTGTATCAAAAGAAAGAATAAAGAATAGTTGTATTATTACCGATAAAGGATAATAGGTAAGTGAAACTTTAAAGTGATTGCTTAAGGCTAATTTTAAATAATAAAAGACAAACAAGTGAATGGTGATAGTGTTTAGAGAAGGATGGATCTGATTAATCCTTTAAATAAATGTATATTTATAATGACCTGATACACTTTAATCATTTAAATATGATCAAAGAATGAGAATCAGATATATCTTTTTCAGTTTAATAATATATTAACTAGGTCAGTTTGTAATTTCTAATGAAACCATAAAGTTATACAAAGTGTTTAGGTATACCGGTTATAACTCATCTTTTGATCATAAGACAATAATACTTTCGAATCAAGTTATCATTTAGACATTCAACTAGTTACTGCTGAACTAGTTTAACACTGACGTTTAATATTCCTTTATTTTTTAGCGATTTTCTATTTGAACTCAGCATGGATTCAATAATTCCCTGTGATTAACTAACGTCAATATAAGAAATGATAAGTAATTTAACATGTGTTATTTTTTTCATATTAATAAACTGTATTAATATACTTACGGGATACACAATAACGAAAAGAATTCGGATATCTATTGATAAGCATTCTTATACAAGTGCTTTTTCCACATCCTGATGGACCACATATAACAATTGGTCTTTTCAATTCTAGATTGAGTTCACTCATGTGTTAATTTAAATTTTATTGTCTTTGAAGATAAATTGTTGTGCTGAAAAGAAAAAAGAAAACCAAAGAAAATATATTTATGAAAGAAATAGCTAATTGAACAATATGGTTTTTTTTGTGTAATGACATCTCAAGGTTATAATAATGGACGTAAATGGTAATTGTAGGTATCATTACCAAGGTTTGATTTGATCATTTCCAATAAATTGAGCATTGGATAGATTGTTATAAATAAATAATAAATTTGTAATATCCCAATGAGTAGAAAAATTAAATTTTCTGACGTTTCGAGACTTAGTTTAAGCCACTTCTTCAGAGAATAAATAACCAAATTAAAATTAAAATTAATCCAAGTTTAATTTGGTTATTTATTCTCTGAAGAAGTGACTTACACCAAGTCACGAAACGTCAGAAAATTTAATTTTTCTACTCATTGGGATATTACAAATATATATTATTTGTAAATAATAATTGATTACCTTCTCTTTAGTAAATAAACTTATATTTGATTATTATAATAAATCCTCACATATCTATGGTAATCCAGTAGACGGAACTAATTTGGTGATTTCAAAAATATTCCTAATATTTAGTTGACAGGGATAGAAATTTTGATACCTCATGTAAATGTTATGAGCTATGGAAACTTTATTTTAAAAAAATTGGAGTTACAATTGACTTTTTTAAATACATCAAAGAATAATACGGTATATACCTATATAAATAGGTACTTATCAACATTGCCATAACAAGCATATAACAGGAATTATGAAATAAACATGCTTAGGTCTAAATAATAATAAAAATTATTATTATTCTTGTTTTAGGTTAGTATATGTATATCGTGTTAGTAATAATGTGGTGTAGTATGTATGTAACCCCAGTCAGAAGTGGAATGCCTGACAGCAGAAGAGTGAGAAAAGTGAATCGAAGAGGACAAAAACGTAAACAGAGGCCAATTGTAATAACAATAGAATTAAAGGAATTATGGAGCATGTAAAGGATAATTGAAGGAAGGTGTGCAAATAATGTATTCAATGCATAGTTTTCATATTTTATCAAAACACTTTATAATTTTGCAATGAACTGGTTATTCTCATCAAGTCTTCGTTCACTACAATAACACTGTCATAACTTCAATTCTTCATCAGTTTAGAAATGTTTGCATTATATTTATTAACATATTAACGATATTATAATGAATTGAATTATTTTCCTCGGTTAGTTTTAGCTGAGAACGAGAATATTTCTTAAAAGTTTATCATCAGTGACAGGGAGATTGTGGAGACTGGTGAATTTCACAAAGATCACAAATGAATTTAAGTTAAACAACCAATGAAATCTTGGAAGCAATAGACAGTTGTTTCATTTCAACGTGGGACTCTTCAGTAATTAAAATCAACAATCCCGCTACTTGTGGTTGAATCAAAGCTTTTAGGTCTCACAAATGAAGACATAACCGTAAATTATTGAGTCTGGATCCAAATGTGTGAACGCCTAACTCCAGCCATTCCTTAATACTGAGCGACCATCTTTAGTTGTTTTAAATGAGTAACCTCTCGCTGGACTCCATTCGTCACGAATTCTCGTTAAAACTTCAGAAAATTTCTCCCAAATCCAGTAAATAGTTAGCACATATGACTGTCAGTAGGTGGGTCGTGGAGATTGTTATCCACAGAGGGTGACTGAAGATATTTGGGTCAATACTATGGACTGATTGAAGTTAAGCGTCTACGCTATTAGATCTAGACTTAGTGACTAAGGAGGAATTCTCCTCGTGCGAGACCAAAGGTCTTTGGCCCAGATACAAGTAGCAGGTTCATTGATGCTATAGTATTGATACTATAGTATTCACAAAAACCCCTTTCTGAGAAAAGGTGGTTAGTTAATTTGTTAAAACTTGCACTAATTGTTTCGTGATGGCAAAAAATATGAAATGAATTCACTCTGAAATTTTAGGGTGTTCTGAAACATATGACCTAAGTTTGTATTGTCTATGATTGTTTTGTGTTTTTTTCATCTCAGTGAACATTTAAACCTAATCTCTATGGTTACATGTACATTTTTCAAACCACATTTTTTGTATTCAATCCATGCCGTGCATAAAAAAGGCATTTAGGCGAAAATAAAAAGTTTCTTTGAAAAAAACCTTACAAACCAAACAGACAAACAAAATAGTTCAGTATTTAAAGAAATAATCATTAATATATTCACAATAAAAATTCTAGGTATGCAGACAAATCATTTAGATTTTAGTTTCAAAAACAACATAAAAGACTGATAGGTCTTGGGTTAGAGTCCCGCGAGACGGGATTGTGGATGCACACTGCTAAGGAGTCCCATACAAGGATGAAACGGCCACCCAGTGTTTCCAGGTTTTTTGTGGTGATCTAGCTTCTATTGACGCATGAATTCAACTATTAAATAAATATACATGTCACAATTAGGCGAATGCGATTTTGCATTAGTAGCTAAAGTAACTAGGATTTACTCACACAGTATCTCTGTTTAAACATGAAATTCAAATATTAATGCATCTCTTAATATATTAGCTCCTGAATGAATTTGGATATAAGCTTAGTTAACTTGAATTTGACTAATTATGTAATAATATGGAACTACTCTCGTATGTTAAACTAGTTAGTAGTTTTATACAATAAACTCATTATTCTGATCAAAGTGAGTTTTTCAAAATTACTAGAATTTAAAGGATTGAATAATTAACAATGAGTCTAAAACTGTAGAGCTAAAATAATCTGGTGAATCAACAATACGAATATCAGAAATGTTAATACCGATTCAATTCGCTTCACAAAGTATAATCTAAATTAGTTGAAAGTTTTAGAAATTTTTAAAAAAAGACTGCTAATTATTTTCGAAAGAAATATTGTTTATTAGCTGTTTAATTAATATTAGCTATATGAATTCAACATCTATGATTCATCTTATGAAAAGGTTTAGTAACCCGAGATCTGACTCCAGTTAGATCTTTTCTGATTGCTATTGAGACATATATGTCGTCAATTCGCACAGAACTCGCGTTAGTAAATAACGGAATTAAATAAGTCTATATAGGCGGCCTGCTTGAGCATCTGGGCTACCTATCCCTGCTATCTAGATATATCAACAAGTTATCTATTTTTGTTTGTTTTAATATATCATTATGTCTATTAATCGCATAACCTATCCTGGTGCATTTCTGGAAAGTGTACAAACTTTCGTTGTCAAAGTTATAAAAAGCCCAATAACAGATAATGTGGGCGCTGGCAATATGCAGAGAAAAGAATATACATTATTCTGATATTCATTTACTGGACTGCTAACATCTAACTGGCGATCACTCAGTATTTATCGTCAGGATCGACCAAGAAGTCCGAAACGGAAACTTGTTGAAATACTTTGTGCTGAGAATTCTATATTGTACCAAAAATATAATATTGAATAAAGCCAATAATAATAACAATAATAAAATATGAGAATGTATTCTTGAATACATATATTTCATACAATCGTTGATCGGGAAGCGGATCAAAACAAAATGACGAGAAAATGGAGAAGGTAAGTCAACTCTATTTAATTAAGCGTGAATCGATATTTAAAGTTGCACCAAAAATAAACTACAAAAATGTGATGATTAAGATAAGGAATGACACTCATACGATCACGTAGATACAGTCAGTGTTGATAAGCAAATAATTAAAACAGTCAAAATGTGACTCAAGAAGAATGAATAATTTGGGTTGTCCAAAAACCAGAATAGGCTAATATGTGCTTAGCATAGCAATCGACACTACAGACTCCCAATTTCTCAGCTTATATTATCAATTATTAATTTACTGTAATACATATCTTACAAATTAAACAAATAAACAGAAGTGAATTTTCGATAGCTATTTAACTGGGTACGAAAATTAGAACTTGGATATTGATTTTTATCGCAATCATTTGCTTCCATATGCATGCTTGAAGTAATATATCACTTCAGTGATATAATCTTCAAGATAATCTAAAACACTCCTAAAAACGACGAATTATCAATGTCATAAAAATCGAATAAAAATAGGTCGACAGATAATTATTTCGTGTCATAAAGGAATGAAGAATGTAATATACGGTACTAAACACAGCTGTTACAATGTAATTTAGCATATCAATATTTTTAGAATTACCAATACTTAAGTTACTAAGTTAAAGATTTGAATATTTCAGGAAACAGGTGTTACATGTAACCCTATCATTTGAACAGTTGTCTTATAAACTAGAAAGTGATTTAAAGTTCTTTCAATTAAGAAAGTTGGAAATAATTGAGATATATACACTGCAGTAATCATTGAATATTTCTTTTTTCTTAAATATTTAATAAACAACTTTAAGAGCTGTATGACAGAACATTTTCATCTACAATACCTGTTTTTTGATGGAGTTTTGTTTTCTGAACTGGATGGTTTGGTCGTGGAGCTTTCATCGTTCTTCTGAACGACATCATCAACACAAAATTCCCTGAATTTTCAACAAGTAATAAATATTATTAATTGAACACTTTCATAAAACCTATTCCAAGGATACTTTTGTTGAAACTAAACAATGTTTCTTTATAACATCAATCTCTATTTGAAAAAGATTCGTTATATTTATAAAGTCATTTTCAGACTTTTCGATATATATATATATATATATATATATATATATATATATATATATATATATATATATATATATATATATATATACAGTAATAATGTTATTCGTTAATCGGACAAGAATTAATCAGAATAATCAGAGAATGAATGTAAACAGCCTTCTGTCTCACACGCGAACGCTTAACCTTCTGGATCACTGAGCCGGCATCCAATGGTCTTAGTGTTTGACACCAACCAATCCATTTCGTGGATGCTGGTTCAGTGGTTTAGTAGGTTAAGCGTTCGCACGCGAAATTGAAGGCCCTGAGTTCGAATATCGTGAGCGGGATCGTGGATGTGCACTGCTGAGGACAAAACGGCCGTCCAGTGCTTCAAGGTTTCCAACAGTGGTCTAACATCAATCGGTTCATGATCTCAATCAAAAAACTTAATAAACATTGGTTTGTTTTTCACTTAATCTATCCTGACCTTAACTATTAATGACATCTCTACATTGATGACTGACATATTATCAAAACAGTTATAATTATGCTACATTACTGTGTGTTTAGATATATGAAAACATTAACAGATCTCAAAAGTGTTTTTTTTCTCCCATAAGAATGTTAAGGATTAACAAGATGAGATCATGTTTTTTTTAGATTTTACAATAAATTCTATTATGATTCTTTCATTTCGGTTTGTAAAAAATGTAAACAACACTAATAGATTGTACGTATTATAACATAATTGAGATTAATGAACAAGCTAATGTGAATAAGCAATGTGATTAAATTACCCCTTTTTTTACTTTAAATTAGAAGTACAGTAGAGTAATTAAAACAAGCCAACTATCTAGGCCTTATATATTAATTATTAATGTAATTCGTTCTTCTAAATACTTAATAAGTAGTATAACATTGGATTTTTTGTTCAAGTCGAATGAATATCAAAGTATTTCATTAGGGTTATTTATCTAAGTATCAACTTGCGAAAAAAAGCAAATTAAAATTCTCAAGTTATTTACTCCTGATGCTTATTGATTTCGTTATAAGAAGTGTTGAGATCATTGGATCGTGAAATGTATATTTGAGAGAGAAAAAACAAGAATAGTAGGAGGGGGTGAATAAAAACGTAGAGAAAGTATGGAAAATAATAATAAGTAAAACTATTTATTAAGGCCAAGGGGTAGATAAGGGTGTTACAAATTTCTTATGAGCACAATGACTTGCAATGTCAGCTCAAATTTCTATAGCTTCTGCTATGTGTAAGAGACTAGATTGAACACCATAAGGTAAACTAGTAGGAATACGATAAATAACTTTGAATGACTTATTTCTGTCTACTATATGACCGCTATCGATCAAGTGTGATAGAATCAAGCTGCGTAACGACTTGATAGTATCTTTTCCTAACCACGAAGAAAGGTGTTCACTAACTATTTGGTTAAGTTGTCTGATGTTCGAACTCGTCTCTTACACATAGAAGAAGCTATAGAAATTCGAGCCGACATTCCAAGTCTTTGTGTTCATAAGAAATTTGTAGCACCCTTATCTTCCCTTTGGCTTTAATAAACGATTTTATTTACTATTATTTTCCGTACTCCATCTTCGTTTATTGATTAGTTTAAATTATGCCTTAATGTTTTATTCTCATGTTTAAATATTAATAACCATTACTTAGTTGTTGTTTTTTTAAATATAAAGCTGAATAGATATATCATTTGTGTTTACATGAAAGTAATTTTATTTATGCAAAACTATTACACGGTTGAGTTATTCAACTAATATGCTCTTGCAATATTAAATATCATATATTGAATTAGTAAAATTGAGGGTAGGATACTAGTTGAACAATGATATTGACTGTAATTAGCTGACAGTATACCAGAGAATTTTCATCCAGTAATCTAAGTATCGTAATAAACATAAGGTAGTATCATTGATTTAATTGCTTACACTATTGACAAGTATCAAGCTGAGACGCAATATTTATTTAGCTAACCTCGTTTAGTGATAAAGAGAATACTTTCAACTCTAAGGAATTTTCAACCAGACATCCTAGTAGCCATTATTTCATTTAATTCGTTATTGGAACTACTTAAATTGGCCAATGAGGTATTCAAACGTCACACCAAACTTTTGGATCTGAATGGTGATTATTTTGTTTTATTGATTTCAATATATTAACTTTATTTATAAATATGTGGGCTATTTGACCTATTTTAAAAGGCTAGGTATCATAGCCACTGATTCCAAAGTCAAGTAACATCGATTCTCAGAGAGAGCTTTGTTTAACTCATTTTTTTGATTTTATATTTCTTTTAGTATAGGTTAAATCCCCGGAGATAATGTAGACGAAATAACCGCGTAAATAATTGTTTATTTTTCTCTAGATGTAGCCTCCTTTGTTATGTTCCAGGTTCAACAAGATCATCCATACTAATTTAATTATCTCCAAAAGTTTATAAGGAATAGCACACTTCGACAATACTTCAGTTTATATTGTATATTGTTATACAACTCCGTATTTGGTACCGCGAATATATTATAAGTTCTTGAGGATTACATATTATGTCCTGAGAGCCTTTATTTTACTGTATCATTGAAATGCTATCTTTATTAAAAAAAATTGAATGAAGTCATGAACAGAACTTCATAGAATCTAAAACAAGACGAGGAAGTATATCTTATACTTAGAATTGTATAGTTTATACTTCCAGAGTATAATTATCAATAAAGATAATTTATTTTTATTAATCATCTAATAATCTATTCAGCTTAAACGAATTTCATAGTTTCATAATTTTCAGGACAAAAAACGTAATATCCCTTATGCACTCATAGTTGTGAGTCACCTGTTTATCATACATCCACATTTAGAGAAATAAGGCAAAGAAACATGGAATGCGTGGTATGTAGATTATCTTTTAAACAATAAGAGGTTTGTTGTAACTTATCATACAATCTCCTACGACTAACATAAAATATAACAATCTCTTGATATAGGTAAAAAAACTTCTTGTTTTTCTATGGAAGTAATGAAGGTTAACAAATTCATTCCAACATATTTAACAACTTATGACATATTATGTTTCACTGGTTGAAATCATGAGTCAATTGAAGCTAGACCATCATGGAAAACCTGGAAGCACTGGACGGTCGTTTCGTCCTAGTATGAGACTCCTCAGCAGTGGGCATCCATGATCCCACCCCCCGCGAAATTTGAACCCAGGACCTATCAGTTTCGCGCCAGGCGCTTAACCAACCACTCATATTAGGTTGTTTGCTTAATAATCAAAAATGCTAAAATCTTCTTTAGATTCGCACAACAATATGAGTTGATTTGAATAAAAGAAAACATATCCAATTACGCTATTAATAATAATATCTAAATAGTATTATGTTACATTTTACACTTACTAATATTACTGCAGATCAACTGTTGAATAACTTCAGTATTGAAATAAGTAAAAAATGATGTATCTTATTGATATTAATAAATCGTAAATTTATATGAAAATTTATTGTTTTAATATTTATTATACAAATAAGCACAGTCCCATCACATAAATTGTAATCATAAAGGAATATAAAAATGGAAAAAAAACAGTAAGGTGAGCAACTATATATTTTAACCTCACCGTATTTAAGTTCCTCAGTTGTCTGTCATCTTTCCACTTTCTCAATTCCTGTTATAAAATTATTTATCAGCCAATGAGAATCATTTTTTAGGGATTTAAAATTTACCAATCAAAATCAAAACAAATTATATGGGACAAGATTTAAATTCATCTGTATCAAGATCCTACGTTCAATTTATATTTTCATTTGTAGTCAATGTCCATAATTGTTAATTGTATACCAAATAACAGGTTTACAAACTATACTTTAGTATAGTCGCATGTAACTGGATTCCACTGTTGATGTTCACATCAGAACTCTAACCAAACACGTCTGATTTTGGACTCTCAATAAATCCAGATAGTCATTTGCTTATACAACGAGAATGAATTTAATTAATCTGTGTTTTCATCTTTCTGTCGTTAAAACACTCAAATAGCCTACATACTGCTTTTTTGAAATAAGTTGTAGTCATTAATTCCATGCCAAATGAAACATTTTGCCAACCAAAAAGTTAATTATCTACCTTCAAAGATGGAGAGTAATGTGATAAGATGATCAATTTACATTACCAACGCTTTCGTACAAATTCAAATCTAGTCTTCCTTTAATTAAATGGATTATGTAATTCCTATAAATAATTCCTAATAAAGCTCCATAAACACCTTGTCATAATTACTTTGTTTATTTTGGAGTAAACATTCTTAGGTTTCTAGGTAAAATGTTGGATTCTATTCACTTTTTTATTATTTTTTACTTTAACTGAAAACAAAATTATTCATCCGTCCATTTTTTTCGTGATATTCTATAAAATATTTCTAATGAAATTGTTTTTTATAATCACATACTTAGTGACTTACCGTTGATTAACTACTTACTTTCATTAATCTATATATGTATTATTTTTTAATATCAGAAGGGGTTTTGTGGAGATTATAGTAATTTCAATAGTTGAGATCATGAGTCAATTGAAGCTAGACCACCATGGAAAACCTGGAAGCACTGGATGGCCATTTCGTCCTATTATGGGACTCCCCAACAGTGTGCATCCACGATCCCGCCTCACGGGATTCGAACCAAGGACCTATCATTCTCACGCATGAGCGCTTAAACATTGGACCACTGGGCCGTTATTCAAAGATGTTAATATCTAAATCCAACTAATCCGCGAAATCGACAGACGCATCCACCATTGTCATCAGTGAGTTACTGTCTCAAAACAGACCTGGTTGTGCTCCACTGGTCACTGCTTGTCACTAGGACTCCAGGATATACCTCATGAAGCCAGTCACTAATGAGCATATATTGATTAATATCAGGAGGGGTTCTGTGAATATTATAGTAATTTCAATAGTGGAGATCATGAGTCAGTTGATGTGGATGTGTCGCTCAATTTCAAGGATTAGTTGAGGTTAGACATTAACACCGTCGGATGTCGGCCAGATCAGTGGTCTGATGAATAAGCGCTCGCGCGCGCGAGAGACTGATAGGTTCTGGGTTCGAATCTCGCGAGGCGAGATCGTGAGTGCACACTGCTGAGGATTCCCACAATAGGACGAAACGGTAATCCAGTGTTTCGAGGTTTTGCATGGTGGTCTAGCTTCAAATGACTCATGAACTCAACCACTAACATTATTATTTTTCAATTAAATTATTCACTAATTCCGTCTTTAATTATATAATTGATAAATATTTTTTTGAAATTGATTCATTGATTGTGTGTGAGCGAGAATGATAATAATTGTTTATCTGCTTAGTCAGACATGTAGGTAGTCTGACAGGTGTTAGACGAGTTATAGATTCCCCTATTCTCATTATTACTGATTATTAATTGTTCATTGTTATTGAATTGTTTCGGGGTTTTGGTGTGGAAATATATATACATTCTAGTCAGGCTAATCTCGTGTTCTTGATCTGATTTGGTGTTAAAGTCATGTAGAATAGACACTGGGGGGGAATCTAGTGTAGATATTCGTCTAAGGTAAATTAACGTCCCATATGTGTAAACATGGAAACCCAACCGTTATAACAATTGGTTATAACCATGATATAACATTAATCATCTAACCGTTTAAAACGATAAATTTAGTCTTGATAATGTACGTAGATGAGTGATTTGTTGCTTTAGTTTATCATATTATGATGATGCAATTTTTGATTGAATATTAAAAATACATATGTTTTGTTTATTTAATATAGTAATTAGTGACATTTGGATTTAGATTTGACAGGGATTATATGAGACAGATTTATTGACAGTGGTTAACATGGTTTCCTTTTCATATTCTTGAAAGATTTTAGCTGTCCTAACTTCCAAAGGCAGATGTATCAAACTAATTATTTTGTAAAAATAGGAATTAAATATAAAATGTTTTGAAATCATTTTTATACACGAAATAAAACATTTTGTTTTGAATTAATGAACGTAGTTAGAAGGATGACTGAAAAAGAATGATGTGGTACATGTCGTCGAGGATTGTTCAAGTGTTTCTTCAACTATCGGAAAGCCGACACTTTTATAAACATCTAGAATCTCTAAATATAATGATGAACTATTTAGTTCACTGTTAAAGAACAATACATGGATGAAATGTTTACCTCTGAGAAAGTATACTTTCAAAGATAGAACTCTGTCTGGAAATTTATAGTGCTTAAAAACAGTAATAACGATAAACCTAGCAAACGTTATTATGCATAACTAGTTGCAAACAGAGAACCTAAGGGTTTCATTTATTATGAGCTACAGAACTGAAGAGAAAATACTTCTATCTAAACTTGATTACAAATATCACCCAATATTTTTACCTCGATTGTCTACACAAATTAATTTTAGACTTAGCGAGTTGTCAAATTTATTTTAATAATCAACTGACAAGCTTTAAACAATCAAAGAGTTTGAACAGATTGAAACAATATTATGAATAGTGCACTGTGTGTTATAATACTTTTGTGTTTAATTGTTGGAGGAAGGGCATACATCCATATCCATAGAGTGAAGCTTATCTCATCAGTGGTCACGATTAATTGTGCTAGCTTATGCATCATATGGATCAAGTTGATTATTCAGTCGATAGACCAACCAGCACACCCTGATTCGAGAAAAATAATCCGTCATTTGATTGATACTTTCGTCTCAGGTTATCAACTAAGGAAGTACAAGTTTGTTAGCATCATCATAGTCGTTAGCTCACCACGTAACTTGTGTTTTTCTCACTTGTCAAACATAATACTTAATAATAAGACGAAATAATTTAGTTGTCGTTTGTATTCGAAATGCTTCTCAGCGAAAGATAAACGTTTTATGATTACTCAATACAAGGAGTTATTATTATAGTTAATTTGTTCGTAGTATCAATTAGTGCTATTTGCTTACATATTATATATCGAATGTTAAACACTGTAATTTCACCGTATACATAAATGAGACATTTTTTCAATAAGTAAAAGTCATGAATGCCAGCTAATACACATAACCAATCTTTCACTATACGGATTCCTGGAAAATCAAGCATCAAAAGTGCTTTTTGCCATAAATTTTTTTAAAACATTTAGAAATAAAATATGTATGAAACACAAACGTTCACCAAAGTAACAACGGCTACAATACACGCTTAACTAGTTCATAGCTAGTTTAAGCACTACTTACAACAAATCAATTCCCTATGGATACAAGAAACTGATGGAACTAGAAAACCAAGATGACTTCTCACTAACCATTTGAATAGAAATCTAATTTGTATATCTCAGTAGATGTTAAATCTGCACTGTTATAAAAGAAAAAGTAATAATAGGTGAGGAAAACAAGAAATTAATGACAAGAACACATTATTACTTAAAGATCATGCTCTTCATTTGTCGTTGATTGGTCCATAGACAGGGAATTATGAGAACCAGAGCATTCACTCTATATTTATTATTTCTTGCGTAAATATTGTCGACAACATTACCTTTCGTTTCTAGTCCATGTATTATGGAAATTATTTGTTTAAGAAATCACTTAGGATATTTGTGATAAATAGCGATTTTAATGAGTTGTTTCATAAACCGTTCGCATGAATTTAAGTGATTTTTGATCCTTTGCAAGACTTCATATTCTTCTGTAGTTTTTGCTACAACACTTTGTAAAAGAAGAACAGCATGTTGTATTGGCTACTACTGTTATGGTTAAGTAATACTTAACTGCCTTATGCTTGACACTGTTACCTCGAATCCAACAACCTTGCAGTGAAAACCAAAGACTGATAATAAAGACTTATTTGACATTAAAAATAAATCAAAATGATGTATGAATACACCACTTTTTGTACAGTTGGATTATTTAGTCAGATTCGTATTAATTGAATTAAGTATCATTTAACATTGATTTGTTAATAACTTACTGTGTGAATAAATATTTATAGTATCATACAGTTAAACATTTGTAACCAATAGATCTAACTAACTGACTAACTCATATGGTTATTCTTTCTTAAAAACTGATTGCATGTCATAGACGATCAATTTTATATATGAGTTTCACTTAAATCAATAGACTTTACTCCCCATTATCATATACATGAAATTGTTGAACCCGTTCAATACTATGTATGAAAATTACCATAAAAAACGTTTCTTTTTCATCTTAAACTTTATCTCAAGATCTATTCAGACTGCTGTATTTATACTATAAAATGTATTTACTGTGATAATGTGAGCTTTCAGCAATATATGTTGCTGTTCTCTTGAAAAAGAACGAATCGAGTCATATTTAAGATGTTAGCGACCCCATTCCGTAGAAAACCAACTCGCTAAAAAAACGCTAAACAGAAAAAATTATTCAAACCTTTTAAACTCTGCCCTGGGAGTCAGAAGGTCTTCATTTAGAAGAGTTGTGACACATCATGATGAAAGCCGAGTTCCTTCGGAATTCACGAGGCCGATGCCCCTTCTGGTAGCCAGAGCAATAATTTATTTAGGTACATGGAATGCTCGTACAATGTGGAAGACCGGGAGAGTCTTCCAAATTACTGCAGAAATGAGGAGACACAACC